GCCATGGAGAAGGATCCATGTCTACTGCCGGTCCACCTATGGCATTCTTCCTCCAAAAAAGATAGTCCATGTTCGCATATGTGCTCTGTAAAGGGAATAGAGAAGGGCTAGTAGGTAATGACGATAAGGCCCAGACTTGCTTTGCAGGAAGGCACAAGAAGATAGCGTGTGCGATTGATTCATCCGGTTCTCCACACTGTGGACAGTAACTGTCACACCTTATATGTCTATAGTTTAAGATGCTCGTAACAGCCACATGACCTGTTATTATTTGCCACATAAGATGGCACATCTTTTGTGGAGCCCGCACCTTCCAAACTTGCGCTTGTAGTTTAGTAATACTAGGTTCACTAACTTCAGGCATCTCTTCCCGTTTTAAAATATTCTTTGCCACCCAATATCCAGACTTGACTGTATATTGTCCATTCCTTGTATTACTCCAGCAGTATGTATCTCTACGATGTGTCAAACTAATGGACATACTCTTTATGAGAGGTATGTCGACAGCATTGACGTATTGTTCCAGTCTTGTCGCATCCCAGGTCTTTGATTCTTGATTAATAAGATCACTTACTCTCATATTTGGGTGCAGAACCAGTACAGATGGTAGCGCCGGTCTCGCTGGTATAGTAGGAATCCAAGGGTCCTCCCATACTTTCACCTCATATCCCGAGTGGATCTTTTGTCTTATACCCAATAACAATAATTCTCGTGACACTGAAATACTTGTCCACACATATGATGGGTTACTAGTAGAAAGCTTACGCAATGGCGAGCTTGATCGATAATACCGACCCCTCATTACACGAGCAACCAGAGAATCTGGATATTGGCTCAGTCTCCATAATTGTTTTGCTAGCAATGCCAAGTTAAATTCATGGATCAACCTGAAACCGATCCCACCTTCCTCCTTTGATAAGCATAATTTTTCCCAAGTGGACCAATGGATACCCCTTTTGGGGGGATTAGAACTCCACCAGAACTGTGCAATGACACTAGCTAAGGCATCACATATCTCCAAGGGTAAGAGAAAACAAGACATGACATAAGTTGGCAGTGCTAATAGAATCAACTTGATCATAACCTCCTTTCCACCTTTTGATAGCCATCTTCCTGTCCACCCATTAACCCTGTTTCTTAGCTTGTCTTTTAGAAACGCAAAGAGCTTGCATTTGGACCCACTGATATCCTCCAGAACTCCTAGATATGTTCCCATGCCTCCTTCATTCTGAATTCCAAGTGTATCTTTAATTTCTTGTCTAACCTCATGTCCAATCCTCTTACCAAAGAGTAGGGAAGATTTGTCAAAGTTAATGCATTGACCAGAGGCTTGTCCATATTTCTTGACCACTTTCATTACTTCTTCACATTCACGGGGCTCCGCCTTACAAAAGAACAGACTATCATCTGCAAAGAGAAGATGAGATACCGAAGGACACGCTCGCGTGATACGCATCCCCGTTATCTTCCCTTGGTTCTCTGAGTGATTTAGAAGGCTAACGAGCGCTTCCGTGCACAGAATAAAAATGAAAGAGGACAGAGGATCCCCCTGTCGTAGACCTCTCTCTGGAACAATGTTCCCTCTTGGCTGACCATTCATCAGTACCTTGTACCTGACAGATGTTATACAGCGCATAATCCATGCTATCCATATTTCTGAAAAACCCATCTTCCTCATGGTAGCCTCAATGAAGGACCATTCCATTCTATCGTACGACTTGCTCATGTCCGTTTTAATGGTCATTCTCTTATTACGTCCACTGGGTTTGGTCCTTAGGGCATGAAACAACTCTTGTGCAATCATAATGTTATCAGATATCTGCCTTCCCGCAACAAAGGCAGACTAGGTTTCTGATATTCTATCTGGAAGAACTTCTTTTAACCTCTGGCATAGGACCTTAGAGATTATCTTATAGCTAACATTGCACAAGCTGATAGGGCGTAGCTGACTCATCTGATTTGGCTTATCAACTTTCGGTATGAGAGATATGTTCGTTTCATTTAAACCATTAGGTATCGTACCTTCAAACAGGAATTTATTAACCATAAGAGTTAAATCCTCTTTGACAATATCCCAAAAATTTTGGTAGAAAAGGGCAGTCATTCTATCTGGTCATGGGGCTTTCTCTGGATGCATAGCAAAAAGCGCTAACTTGATCTCCCATTTCCATTCACTGACCGGCGCTGTGAGATTTTCATTGTCCATTGGTGAAATGGTAGTAGAGACTTCAGATAGTGCTTCCTCTATGTCCTCCAGATTTGATGACTGGAAAATATGTCTAAAATAATTTGTAGCAATGGCTACAAGTCCTTCCTCATCATGTACCACATTTCCATTTTCATCCAGAAGTTGCGTTATCCTGTTCCTTGCCTTCCTCTGCTTCGTAAGGGCGTGGAAAAATTTTGTATTCCTGTCTCCTTCTCGTAACCAAAAAACTCTACACTTCTGCTTCCAGAACATCTCCTCTGCCTTAAGATCATCATATAATTCTTTTAAAGCCGCAGCTATCTCCTCAGTAGTGGCATCATCATTTTGAAGATAACTGGTCAACTTTTTCCTTTAATTCTTCCACACTCCTTTCAGAGTTTAAATTGTGTTGTCTCTTCCATTCGCACAAAGTTTGTCTGCAGCTTGCAATGTGCTCCATTATGCTAGCTTCTGGTGGAAAGTCCGGAGATTTCCATCCTTCCAAAATCACTTGTCTGAGCTCCTCGTTGTCTAGCCAACGCTTATCAAATTTAAAATTTTTCGATTTGCGTGGTCGTTTTTTAAGATTATCAGCGATGATCGGACGATGATCCGATCCCCACATCCTCATATATTGTGTCTTCGTATGAGGGAATTTATCATGCCAATCCTCATTACCAACAGCTCTGTCCAAGCGGCATCTAACAGTAACTCTCCCCGCCCTTTTTCCAGCCCATGATAGCATGTTCCCTGTGAATGGGAATTCCAGCATCCCACAATCACTCAGCATTTGTCTAAAAGGCAAAAAAGAGCTGTCTGAACGTTCACGACCCCCTTCTTTCTCCTCATGGCATGTAATTTCATTAAAGTCACCAATCATGAACCATGGTCCTTTTCTTGTTGTTGAGAACCGTGTAAGACGTTCCCAAACTAACTCCATACGTTCTAGGACATGATCTCCGTAAAAAAACGTCATAAAAACTTGAGAAAATTGGAAAAAAAGGACACTTTGAACTTGGATTTGTCACAATAGGATTTGTATCACATATTTTTGGAAAATAGGATTTTCATTCTTGTTAATACCAAACTACCCCTAATGTATCAATTATGTTGAATTAAAATTATATATTATAATTTTCGTAATTGATTTTAAAGTTAAATAAAATTAACAAAACTCAAAAAATTACAAAAAAGAAAAACTTTTAAAAATAAGTAAAAGGCAAAAGGGGATTTTCGATACCCTAATTTCAAAATCACCTTCTCTTCTCCGCCGTAGAACAAGATGACTCCCATGGCGATTTACGGTTTTCCGGAGAGAAGATCATAGTCTTTCTCGGAGTTTCATCTTCCTCTTGTCTCAAATCTCGTCTTCCTCATCCTCCTCTTCGATCTCCCCCAAGATACAACAAAATCTCTGTAATCCTTTCCTCTTCGTCATCCTCCGGTTATCTTTTTCAAGCTCGAAGTGTTCTTTCAAAAATTTCGTCTCAGGTCTTCACACAAGGTATTCACTTACATCTACTGATTCTCATCTAACACTTAATCGAATTGTTCTTCCCTTTTACACAGATTTTTTTTTTAAAAATCGATTTGAACTTGGATTAAAATCGATTTGAACTTAATAGAATTGTTGATCCCTTTCACACAAATTTTTAAAATCGATTTGAACTTGGATTACACAGATTTTTTAAAATCGATTTGTCTTGCTCTCATTAACATGTTGAACTAACAAGTTTTGAACTTGGATTTTAGATATGTCGCTGGAGTTACCAAATAGGATTTTTAAGGAGGGCGAGGAGCCCCAAGTGACTCAAATCAACAACAGCTGCAGGATTGATTACATTATCCGAAAGTTCAGTGAGTGGTTGCCAATGGAGTTGGAAGCTGTGAAAAAAGATCCGGTCTTTTCTCAGATTTTTAAGCTGCATGACAATGGTCTTGGGTTCTCCGCGAGAGTTGTACACAGCTTCTTGTGTAGGGAGCTGCTGACTTACAAAATGCACGAGCTTTGGTTCATCTTTGCGAGGAGACCACTTCGTTTTTCATTACAAGAATTTCATGCAGTAACCGGGTTAGAGTGTAATACTCATATCTCTCTTAAGGAGTTTGAAGAATGGAAATATGACGGTGGTTTCTGGAGCAATGTGTTGAGGAGAAGAGATGGATCACTTACACTCTTCAACCTGTGGAATAAGGACAAGGAAGATGTTAAGAAGTGGAAGAATGCAGATCGCATACGACTGATCTATCTCGCCATCATTCTTTGTGTGGTTTTAGCAAGAGATGAGAAGGCTAATATCCCACTCAAATACATCAAGGTGGTCATGGATCTTGAGAAGGTTGGCAAGTATCCTTGGGGAGTAGCGGCCTATGATCTTCTCTGTAACTCAATAGCCAAAAATCGTGACAAGTTGAAGGATAAGACTACTAGTTATGTCTTGGATGGTTTCTCTTACGCCTTGCAGATTTGGGCAATGGAAGCTGTACCAAAGATTGGGAAGCTTTGTGGAAAAAAACTTAACAAAAGTTTCACAAACGGTCCTAGATGCATAAACTGGATGGGAGCTGCAAAGGTGTCATACGATGAGATCATTAAGTTGGAGCAAATCCTGACACCCGAGGTAATCTCTAATCTTTATGTAAGTTGAGTCAAGCTAGTTTTGTATGAGTTTTTTAAGATCTAAGTTTCTGTAAATTTCTTGTGTAGGATGCCATATATCCATATATCGTCTGGAGGGGAAATTATGATATAGTCCAAGCTCATGTATTTAGACGAGCTGATGATGTGGAGGATGACAGAATCGATAATCTGATGGAGTTGATAAAAACAAAACATGATTTTAGTGACCATGTTTGGGGTATTGAAGAAACACCAGAGGATGAATTGGCTGTGAATGATGACTCAGCTGTCCATGATGAAGCCGCTGAGAGTGATGAAGATTATCATACTCCAAAAGGATCAAAGAACCTAGGTGCTACATCAAGCAGGGGTAAGAAGAGGCTTCCAGATCGTGGTATGGAGAAAAGGAAGCACAAGGTTCTCTCTAGTGGACCAAAGTAAGCGCCTTTTAATGAAGACATGAAGGCTTTTGTGACACAGTTGTTTGAGCAAGGTTTCTCTGGAATGGAACAGAGACTTCAAAAACAGATGGCTGAGACATTTGAGAAAATGAAGACAGAGATTGAAGATTCCCGGAAGGAACCTAGCGCTGAAGTTGAGACTGGAGAGTCTTCACGGAAGGAGCCTTCACCGAAGAAGTCTCCACCGAAGAAGCCTCCACTGAAGAAACCTTCACCTACCAAACCTTCGACGAGCCAAAAACAATTTAGATTATAATTCTGCAAAGTACACACGTTTGTAATAGGTTGAAGCCGTCCATTTTAGTGATTTTTGTCTGATCTCCCTTTGGTAGAATACACGTTATATACATATTAAATGACGTCGTTTTACTAATTATTTTGACCTACACCATTTTCTTCCTCATTCTTTCTCGACAGAGAGATTTACAGCGGCGAAAATTTGGAGATCGACTCAAGAATGTCTTCGGTCAATTCTTCATCAACTCCAACAGATCGACTCGCCAAACAATGTGGAATTCCCACGAGATGCAATTGCGGTCAGGCAGTGTCTCGTTTCACTTCAAAAACAGTTAAAAATCCAGGAAGATTATTTCATTGTTGTCCGATGGGATCTGAGAAGGTTAGTCTTATAACCATGTAAGTTTGCTTTGTTTCAATCTAATTGTTTATTGGATGTTAATGATGAAGGAAAAAACCCACTTGTTCAAATGGACTGATAAGTCGGTTCTTGAGGAAATTGAAGACTTCCAGGACTTGTTTGACGTGCTGCTTGTTGACAATATTGAGATTCAGAAATCAGTGGGAGGTGGCGAGGCCATGATGAAAGGCCATGAGAGTAGAATTAAAGAGACGGAAGATGCAATCGCTCATTGTGAAGAGAAGATCACAGAATGCATTAGAGAATTAAAGATCATAAAAGCTTTGTTTGTTTGTTGTTTGGTGATGGTGTTCATGTACATTGCCTGATGTTCATGCGCTGCCTCAAATTGTACTTTATTTTTCAAACAAGTTTAAGACTATGTTTCTTGTTATTTCTTGGTGATTATTTCAGATACCAAATTGTCACAAACATTGATCGATTAGTCTCAAGAGTTTAGCAAGAAACAAAACAGAAACAAAAGATCACTATGATTCAAGATCAACAAGAAACAAAACAGAAACAAAATAACACACAAAACAAACTAGATGGGTAAATCGCATGTTCCTCTCTTGTGTCCTTGGGTACCACAACGACTACACTTGTGTTTTTTATTCTTTGTTGATCCCTGAGAAAATTTTATCTTGCCTTCTACTGATTCATATCTTCTCTTTATTGGTCGACCAGCACTCTTTCTTGTCTCTGGTGGTAAAACCTTAGCAAGTTTAACCTCAGTGGGGACATTCCATTCAGACTCTGGAACTGCTATTGGATTAATGCATTCCTCGTAGGCGGTTCTCCACGCTGCAGTGGTGTATAAAACATCAGTAAATCTGTGCACTTCCAGGCCTGCGTCAAAAAAATGTGATTGATTGGAGTCACTATGCTTAATTACCAAAAATGAATAAGTCCCAAGTGCAAGTGTTTATACTTCCATACCTCGTGAATAAATTGCAGGAATGGCGTGTCGGCAAGGAATTTTTCCTATATTATACTTCCCACATGTGCATGTTCTTCTTTCCAAATCAACAAAACAATCATATATGTCTCCTTTCACAAGTGATTTGAAGTCGTCAACCTTGTGAACTTGAAACCCTTTTGCTTTCACAATTCTCCTATCAATCTTTTTCTCCACCTTAGTGGTTAAAGGATCAAGATGCTTAGAGCTTACCAACCGACGCTCATAGAACCATTTAGTCAACAGTTCTCTTATACTATCTAGCAAAGGAATAACCGGATATTCTCTAGGTATTCTCAGAACTGAATTTATCGACTCTGCAGGGTTTGTGGTTCTAATGTCATACCTTTTACCAGGGAAGAGAGAACGAGCCCATTTGCGCACATCAGCCTCTCGTAGATATCTTCCAAGATCAGGACTCATATCAAAAATTTCAGTGATACGTTCCTCAAATTCAGTGTACCTATATGCCCGTGAAGCCTTTTCAACCAAGGCAGTGAACCCTTTTGTCTTGAAAAATGCAACCACATTGGTCAACAAGTGATGAATGCAAATTCCATGTGCTGATCGAGGGTAGACAGTCCCAATTGCTTTAGAAATAGACGCATTTCTATCTGAGACAAAAGCTAAGTCTTGACAATCAGCAATAACCACTTTCAACTGTGTGAAGAACCAACCCCATGAATCGTCATTCTCTGAATCAACAACTCCAAATGCAAGCAGATACAAATTAGAGTTACCATCTACAGCAGTAGCAACAAGTAGAACTCCTTTGTATTTATTTTTCAGAAAAGTTCCATCAACAACAATCACCCTTCGCATTGCATTGTAGAATCCTCTAACTGATTGGCCAAAGGACATAAATAGATACATGAATCTCCCCTTCTCATTAAGTTCATAGTGAGTATGCGTCCCAGGATTAGCTTCTTTAAGCATGTGCAAATACGATGGTATTTTAGCGTAACTGCGATCTGGTATACCTCTAGCAGCTGCTATAGCAAACTCACGAGCTTCCCAAGCGTGCCAATAATTAATCTCACAACTGTGCTCCAATCTCATGAATTGAATGATGTCATTTGCTTTTGGGCCATCGTTGGCATCACCATATCGATGTTGTATTAGACTCCCAATTGTTCTTGCCGATGCTGTTTTTCCGAATTTGCTTTTCTTTGAAGGAGCACATGTATGTTTTTCCTCACACTGATTGATCATGAAATATGTAGACCCGTCCAGACCTTCTGCACGCACAGTCCAGTTGCATAATGCATCCTTACATCGGCAATACCACCATTTTCTCGTGGATTTCAGAACAGTGTAATCGAAATGATTCTGCATAGCCAAAACCTCCATTGTTGCCTTCAGAACCTCTTTACTTCTGAAAATTTGATTTTTCTTCACGAAATCTCCTCTCCAAGATCGACCATCCTTTTCACTATCTCCATTATTTCGAGAATCTCCAATGTTTTCACTCCTTAAACCATCATTAGTGCAACCTGCCGCATCGAAATGATCCTTCCTTCTATCCTTTGACGGCTTCACAAACTCTGCTCTATTTTTCTCATGAACTTCTTCATCCTCAACATTACTTGAATCACACGGCTCCTTATTCAAATCAATATTGACTCGTTCTTTTTGACGGTGAACACCATAACCAGAGAACGTGACACACAAAGTAGTAGATGAATCCTTCTTTGCATACGCCACAAAATTAGATGATTGTCGATCATTGGTGATAATAATTGGAGGATTCCCTCTTTGATTCACCATCGAATAACTGAACTCAGCATTCACAACAGTATGATCCACCCCATAATCCTCACACACAATCCTCTTGACCTTCTCCAAAGGAGTAGTAGTTTCTAATGTTATCATTCGACCACGCCTTGCTTTGTCTACAACGAAACTCCACTCTTCACTGCAACTAGACACCCATTCACCAGATTTAACATAGATTAGAACCATGATGTATTGATAGAGAGAAGAGATGATTGTGTGGATGAAGAAGAGAGAAACACAAAAAAAAACAGAAAAGAATCGTGGGGAGGAGGAGAAGAATGTGAAATTTGGAGAAAATATTCTTTGCTAGATTTAGGGTAGATTTAGTTTAGATTTAGGAAACTTCTTTAACCGAATATGGAAGTTTCCATATTTTCCGGAATTTTCCTAGAATATGTATACTACCAACACAGAACACAGTATAGGCGGTATGAAACATATTCTTCCTACAGGCGACATATAAGGTAAAAGGCAGAATCTGTTTTGCCACGTAATGTAGCCGAATTATATAATTGAGTTGTGGTTATATATCGTTTTCAAGCTATAGGTAGAAGGAAGACATCTTTCTAGATTACAACGTAACTAATTCTATCTTTCTCAGAATATACAAGAAAGGTTATATTACGGTATATATCTTCGTCAGAATATACAAGATCTGTTAGATTACGGTATATATATTTGATATATATACTCATATCACTTAGAATCTGATTTATAACCTAAGTAGATTACCAGAATGAGTATTCTAACTATGGCTAGAAGATTAAATAAAATATGATACTAAATTTTTTTTTTTTTAATTTAAACATATATATTGTCATACTTAAGTTTACAACAGGTTTCATATTTTTTTACTTTTTTAAAATTCAATTTACTATTTTTCCATTAAAGAAGGGTAAAACATGTCCATAAATGGTCAAAAGTATGAAAAATCCTATTCTGACAAACACAAGTTCAAAGTGTCCCATTTTTCCAATTCTCCCTAAAAACTTTTATTCCATCAATGACTGCCTCAATGTCAATCATTTTGTTATTTGAAAATAAAATCTTAACTTGAAAATCATCCATAAAAAAACAAAGCTAAACTCCCGCTGAGTCCACGTGGCTCAACGGTAAACAAACGATCAAAACCTAGGTCGGCCTGAATGTCTTGCAACAGCAGCCTCCTATTCTTCGTCTCAGAAAGAAACACAAGTCCTGGCGATGCTTCTGACACATCTCCGTAAGGCGTCGAACTGTGAGGTTGTTTCCTAGCCCTCGACAGTTCCAACTGATTGTCTTCATGGATAATGCTTCGATGAGTTTTTGGACCTCATCAAACCATCATTTTTGTGTGTGCCAGACCGTTTCTTCCTAGCTAGTGATCGAGCTTTTGCCTCAACATCATAAGGATGTTCCGAAGAGGCAGATCTTTGAGATGGCGAACCACGGCGGATACGATCAAACTTCTTGCTAGGATGACCCCAAGTACTGCTCTTTTTCTGAATGTGTTTCGCACTTGATTCTCTACTCGACTTTCCTTTTGGAATAGGTTCAGATATCTCCTTTCTTGTATCTCCACTGCGTCCATGCTCCATCTCCAGCAGTTCTTCACCAAGCATATCATCCAAAGTCGCATCCTCTTCCTCCAACCCGACCTCCTTCAAAGCATCTATTATCATAGCATTTCTCGGAGGGCTCACCGAAGTAACATTTTCTGATGTGTAACTAAGAACTCTTGCTGCACTTCTAGACCTTATTGTCACATTCTCATGTGATGGTGTGAAAATTTTGCTAGCCAACTTCCTAGTATGCGATTTTGATACCCTACTTTGTTCCTCTTCCTGAATACGTTCAACTGAAACCTCATGCCTACTGTGACCACTTCGTCTTTCCTCTCCATGATTATCTTTTTTATATTTCTCAGCATCACGGGAATTTCTCGCGGTATCTCTTTCTCCCCACTGAAATTGTGTTCGCGAGCATACGGAGAGCGCCTTAACCGTTGCTTATGACTCTCATATTTTCTCCTAACCACCCTTTCCTGATTATGCTCAAAACGCATGCTGTTACGATGATAATCAGACTCAAGGTGACGCGTTGAACCTTCCCCTTGGCGAGTATTATGAGCTAGCTGGCGGTTGTTGTGAGTAACAGTGACGACATCATAAGTGTTGGTTAGAGCATGTTTTGCTGTCCGTCTTTGATCCCTCAGCAATGGCTAGTGATCAAGCTCATTCTCTGGCAACTGAACACGATCAAAGACTCCATTTCTGCCTTTGTTAATTGATAAACCTCCCCCTTGGCGATCGCTATTAGTTGACTGCCGAGGAAAGTGATTAACAGTGAAGCTATCATCAGTGTTGATCATTTTTTGTTTTGCAGTACCTCTTTGATCCCGCAGCAATGGCTGGCGATCAACTTCCATCTTCGGCATTTGAACACGACCAAACACTCCATTCCTAACATTTTTGTTTGGTAAATTCAGAGGACAATGGTCCTTCTCGTGAGTTAAATAACCACAGATGGTGCAGTGTTTAAACAACAGCTCATACTCAATCTTAATAGTAACAGCGTCCCCCTCAGAATTTGTAGCCTTCCTTGTGAACTTGAGGGGCTTTCTTGTATCAATATCAATAAGCATCCTCCCCGCCTCAAGTTCCAGCGTATCAACGCGCCCTAAGGTATTACCAAGACCTCTCAGATTTTTGATTGTCCACAAGTGCAAAGGCACTCCAGATAGTGTAACCCAAAACGGAATCACCCATGGATAATCATCATGAACAATCGGTTCCCACCTAACTAGCACAAACATACAGAGTTGTAATGAAAGGGGTCTTGGCTTAAAACCTCCTTGAGAACTTCTTTTGTAGTAAAATTCAATAAAAACTTGCCATTTCCCAAATCATTGGCTGTGCAGCGATCCTGCATACCCCATTGCTTAGGCATGTAGTTGAGAAGTTTTTCCACGTTTTGTTTCCTTGGATTAAGGATTTTCCCAATCAAAGAAAGCTTGAACTCTTGCAAAACATGTGAATCCTCTTCATCAATAAGACGAAAAGGCTCCTCCTCTTCCTCGTACAACAGTCTTTTACCTTTCCTATCCATCGAGCTTGAAGCATCCATCGGTCCCATGATAAGAATCGCACAGACAAAAAACTCCGTAGTCCTCTGTTTTCAGCGTGAAAAACAGAGCATCAAAAAACAGTATGATCTCTGTAGTGAAACGTAGTGTGGATCGAGGAATCCTTGAGACGTTCAAAAGAGATCAAAAATCCGTGAGTCACAGAGATAACAGGATCAAAGGATCCTATCAATGTCGATCAAAGAGATCGTCGTTGAAAAGTTGAAGTAAACTGTGAGGATTGTGACGGAAGCAACTGACAGGATGCTTAAGGAACACACTAAAAAACCCTCCGATGCAATAGATCTTGAGTCAATGAATCAGATGAGAAGAGAAACCTCGAAATTTCAATGAGATTTTCGAGTTTCGTCGTCGCCTTCATGATCTCCATCGAAAGCCCTAGCCGCCTGTGAATGTTTTTGTCTTTAGGGTAGATATAGTTTTAAGCTCAAAAACAAAAGATAAAATTACCTTTAACGAGAATTAAAATTGCTTTCAAAATTTAGTTATTTTTGAAAAAAAATAACATTTTTGTAAAAGGGAGAAAAAACAGGAATAATTTTGTTTTTTAAAAGCATAGATGTTTTATGTTGTCAACGCATAGATGTTTAAACTATAGTTTGAATTAGTATTTAGGTAAGTCTAGTTTGAATTAATATTTAGGTAAGTCTTGTTTAATAACATTTGACAAATAAAGATTAATATGTTTATTTTGTTGGGTAGACGATCTATTTATCCACGAGAACTATCATATAGCATCAGATCTCCACCGAACTATGATCTCATTCTAGATTCCCACAAATTGAAAATTGCAAACTTATTTCTCCCCGAATCAATACTTTAAAATTTAATTACCCATAGACAATGGTTTTAATTGGTTTTAGTTGGTTTATTATTAACCAAACATCTTAAAATCAAGTAAACCAAATCAAAATCCAATTAAATCCCCACCTGAATCACCGTAAACATTCTTATGTAAACACTTTAATGGATTTATTTTACAACAGAAGAAGATTTTGTTTTATTTAATTGGATTTTGGTTTGGTTTACTTGATTTTAAGATGTTTGTTTAAGAATAAACCAATTAAAACCATCGTCTGTGGGTAATTAAGTTTTGAAGTATTGATTCGGGGAGAAATATGTTTGCAAGTTTCAATTCGGGGAGAAATAGGTTTGCAATTTTCAATTCGTGGAGATCTAGCATGAGATCATAGTACGGTGGGGATCTGGTGTTATATGATAGTTCTCATGGGTAAATAGATTGTTTACCTTATTTTGTTAAACAAAATAGGGAAAAGAGAGACGTGTAAGGTAGTAATGTGAGTCTGATCTTCATAACTCAGTAGTAAACACCAAAGACTAAATGTAAAAGAGAACTTAATCCCTCTTTTCCACTCTAAAAGAAAAAGATATAAATAAGAAGAGAGAAAATGATTAACCAAGTCTGAAACATCTCTTCTTCTTCTTCTTGTTCGCTCTCGTATCCATTAAATCTTTCCCCTTTCTTCCTCCAAAATCGTTTCGAAAGAAGTCTTTAATCAGGTTTCCTTCATCGGGGACTCGCTCATCATCTTCTTCTTTCAGTTTTTTTTTTCTCATTTGTTCCTTCTTTTCTTTCGTCTTCTTCTTTACCGATTCATCTCAAGTATTTTTTTTTCCCGTTTGATCGCTGATTCTTTGTTTTTTGCGCAAATTTTCAATCTTTTTTGTTTTGCTTTGATCAAAGCTTCTTATTGTGACAACTGTAAGAAGCAAATTGCGATTCTGTTTTCTGTTTTTCGTTTCATCATGAAAGATTTTCTTGGAAAAAAATCTCAGGCGTAGAAGCAGCTAACGATCAAGAGTATGAGTAACAACGACGGCGACGATTCTCAGAAGCCGGAGACTTCCGACGGAGTTGTCTCCCGATCAGCTCGGACCTCGCTTCAGGCCGTCTCTGACTGCCTCCGGGCCATTTCCTCTGGTGCTTCCACCGTCGCTCGCTCCGCCGCGTCCGCCGCTTCTTCCGTCGTTAACCGAGACACTAATCACGACCAGGTAAAAAAAGTTGACAACTTTATTGAAAAGAAACTTGCTTTAAGTGCAAGAATCATTAGGGTTTTGCTTCCTTTAGTTGATAGCTTTTAAAGCTTTGATCTTTAGCTGTGTGTAGATTCTTGTGTAGATTCTTGCTTATGTTTTGGGTTTTGCTTCCTTTGGTTAAAGATTAGACCTTTAGCTGTGTGTAGTGTTGTGTCTTTCTAAATCTTGTTGAGAAAAGTTGGATGTGTTTTTGGATGCAAAAGGTACTGTGGGCAGGGTTTGATAAGCTAGAGAAAGAGGATGGAGATACTCGGAGAGTTCTTCTACTTGCGTTTCACTCTGGTTTCCAAATTTGGGATGTTGAAGATACTGACAACGTCCATCTCATTGTCTCTGCTCATGACGAACATACGGCCTTTATGCAAATGCTACCCTACCCGCTAGTCTTCCAGGATGTAGCCGATGTGTTCTTTGAGAGCCGACCGCTTTTGGCTGTGTGTGGTGACAGTTCTTGGGTTGAGATTTTGGATAAGGAGAGCGCTTCTGCTGAAGATGGAACCATTGTGCCTACACATGTGAATGTCTACTCGCTAAAGTCTCAGTCTTATGTTCATACGTTGAAGTTCGAGTCTGTCATCTATACCATTAGGTGCAGTTCTCGGATCGTTGCTGTGCTACAAGCTGATCAGGTTCGATTTTTTTTTTGTCATTAATGTGTCAAGACTTTGTTTCCTGTGATTTGTAGCTTCTGACCTGTTTAAGGCTTTGCAGATACATTGCTTTGATGCTAAGACGTTGGCAGAGGATTACACGATTGACACTAACTCCATCGCGTATGGCTCCTTGGGTGTTGGATATGGTCCTCTTGCTGTTGGGCCACGATGGATTGCTTATAGCGCAAGTCGTATTGCTGAGTCCGCCTCCACAATTTTCACTTCAGAACATGTCCCACTGGCATCATCACCCGGTGTTGCACAATTTGCAATAGAATCCGGCAAACATATTGCTTATGGGATTGCGAGGCTTGGAAGCAAAGGGTTCAAGTCATTAGCTTGGATGCCCAATCCGTATATTCCTGGTTTAAAGGGCATTCCCAACAAAGCACCAGACGCCAATAGCATAGGAGTGGTAAAACTCCAAATCCTCCTCTACTTGTGTTTTCTCTCAAGTTTTAGAGTTTCCATTGATACATAGACGTGGTTGTGTGCAGGTTATAGTCAATGATGTCATAAACAAAAGCGTGATATCTCAGTTTAAGGCACACAAGAATCCGATTGCGGCTTTGAGCTTTGATCCAAGTGGGATGCTTTTGGTGACTGCTTCGACTCAGGGCCACAATATTAACGTCTTCAAAATATTGCCGAGAACCTCTAACACTAGTGATGCGAGCAAAGAGGCTTTTATGCATCTCTTCATCCTCCAGCGTGGTTATACTTATGCGGTAAGCAGAGGAAGACTTTCAAGAGAGACATCAGTTTCTTATTACATTTTGACAAATGATATGTAACAACAGCTTGGTTTCTTCTTATTACATTTTGCAGGTGATACAAGACATCAGTTTCAGCAATGAAAGCAGTGTGATAGTGGTTAGCTCATCAAGAGGGACAAGCCATCTGTTTGAGATTAATCCCAAAAGGGAGGGGCCTATTCCTGTTCCTCTATCAGCTGTTAGTAGGATAAGAAGCGCAAACATCAGCGGATGGATTGGTACAGTGAGCGGTGCTGCAGCTGCAGCAATGGGGACAGTGAGCGCTGCAGCAGCTGGAATAGTTGGAGGAGGAGGAGGAGGAGAAGGCTCTCTTCCGGGTTCAACCACATCAACTTTCTCTTACTGCATTGAACAAAACAAGAACGATCAATATGGTTCTTCTGATAATAGCTCAGAGAGGAATCTTCTGGTTTTTGCTCCTACTGGATGGATGACACAGTATGCGTTAAACCCAGCTGGGGATGGTGATGAGGCTTTGGGGATTGATTCTGAGTCTGTTCAAGAGACTGAAGGACCGGTTGTGGCAAAACGAAGGTGGTCCATGATCCAGAACCGATCTAGAAGAGAGATGCAAGGTCAACAGAGTGACATATATGGAGGTGGAGCAACTTCGGCTTCTGAGGCACCTTGGAAAGTAACTAAGAAAGGAAATGCCCCACGTGTGGAGGATAACCATCAGCTGTACGTGTCTGAAGCAGAGTTGCGAATGTATCAGCCGACTAAGCTACCCTTATGGGAATGTCAGAATGTAAGTTTTCCTTCCTCTTCTTTTTTTGAAAGTTCATAATGTTATTTGTGTGGGATGTTTCTGATACTCTGTGTTTTGCACAAAAACAGTGTAGGTTTCAGAAGTTGGTATTTGGTGTGGATGAAGAGAGTAATGGTGGAGGAGGAGGAGGAGGAGGGGAGATGGAGATTGAAAGAATCCAAACTCAAACGATTGACGCAAAAGCAAAAGAGTTGCGTCCAGTCTGGGGTTGAAGAGGAGGGGAGATGGTGATACTGTTTCTGGTTTACTGGTAAGTGGCCACAAACTCAGCTTCAAGTTCAACAATAGAAGAAGAAAAATAACTGTGGAAAAAATTGTATAGAATAGGAAAAGAAAAGTGACATACCTTTTAGATGTAAATAGCGAGCAGTACAGTCTTCATTTGTTACAGATTGACCCCCCATTACATTGATTCATGAACTGCATCTTCTTAGGATGTAAAACGTAATAAGAAAAAAAAAAAAAGTTGTTACACTTTTACTGCACTTTTATAATGTGTTTGTGTGTTTACAAAGTGAAAAAAACAACAGAAAAGACTGCCACAAAAAAAAAAAGAACAGACGCAAATAAGAAAGGAAGAGGCATTGCAGAGTATCAAAGAGAGCCTAACCATGAGATTCATCATTGCCTATCTAGGATTAGGTTCAAAGCCTTCAAGGCTCTGTGATATCTTTAACTTTTAATTATCTGAATTCATAGAGCCTTGATACTGACAAGGAAGAAAAGATACTGTAAGAAAACAAACTCGAATTCCCGAAAAAGAATCAATGTTATAGTCAATGGTTTTGTTTCCTGGCTTCAGCAGTGCAGCCCTGGCAAGAATCAAGCACTGGCTTATACCAAACTGTAACTTGTGAAGATATAGGGTGGGTCTTGGACTCTTGGGCGAGTACACTGTTCACTCTCCCTCTTGAGCTGGCCTTCACGGCCTGCTTTTGGTACATTGATCTCATTGTCTCATTCTTTTCATATTATGTATGTTAGTCTACATAATCTATAGCACATATAAACTGAAAAATGTTTTTTTTTTCTTTAAATCATGCAAGATATTAGATTGGAAGTTGTACGTTATCAAGGCTGTAGAGACCTAGGCCCCAAAGGTTTCCATAACTGGCAGAAATTGAAGCGTGCAGAACTACACTCACAAAGGAAAGGCTAAAGTAGTAGTACTACAAAAAGACTTCTTGTTATGAGTGGGGCGAGATTGAGTAACTTACCAAAAGAGGTAGATGTTGAAATTAGAGAAGAAATTAGTCCTCAAAAAGTAAATTCTCTTTTACAAAAGAAAAAAAGGAGAGTAAATTCTGAAGTTGAAGCTCCAATGTCTTTGTTCAAAGACTTTATTTAGAGGTAAAGCTATGTCTTGTAACCACCAAATAGCTCCTTTTCATCTACACTCTCAACATATTTTTTTTTTTAAACATGTGCTAGGTAGGTCTCCAAACCGAACCGGCCTATACCAAACAGAGTCCGGTTTACGGATTATATGTTGAGCTTCCGTGATTATCTATAACATTCCGGTGTTGAAATCATAAAAAAATCATGAGATTCAACGAATTCTCGAATACATAAAAATTGTAATTCTACATAAACCGGGAAAACCGAAGCGTTTCATGCAAATACGAAAGAAGAGAGAAAACCAATCACAATTTAAACCGTAGCCTTTTCTACGTCTAAAGTTTCTAACAAACACACATAACCTTTTCGTCACATGAAACAATCAGATACGATCTGCCATTAATAACCTAAACACAAAGCAAGGTTAGGTAAATGACATAGACCCTTTTTGCATAATATCATACAATACATAACAACGTAAGATCCTTTTTCGACTTACATCTCATTTCAGACAAAACCACATTCAGAAGAAAACAGAGACATAACACAGAAAGAGAAACAGAAACAGAGAGATGAAGTTACATATATCTCCGAGCTTGAGACATGTGACAGTGGTCACAGGGAAAGGATTAAAGGAGTTCATAAAAGTGAAGGTGGGTTCAAGAAGATTCTCATATCAAATGATGTTTTATTCTCTGCTCTTCTTCACTTTCCTTCTCCGGTTTGTCTTCGTTCTCTCCACCGTTGATACTATCGACGGTGATCCCTCTCCTTGCTCTTCTCTTGGTATGTTTTTCTTGTCCCTTCATTTATTTACTTTCTAAATCCAGATATTAAGTAAAAGAATGAACTATTGATCAAGAAAAACTCAATACATTTTTGTTCATCTTATCACATTTCTGAAAATTAAAATATATAAATGTGGTTTCTATAAATCATTTTATGTATAAGATCTATACAATTTTTTTTTCATTTTGATAAACAGCTTGCTTGGGAAAAAGATTAAAGCCAAAGCTTCTAGGAAGAAGGATTGAGACTACTGGTGTAAGTTACTCTAACTTGAGTTTTAGTATCTTGAGCATGTTTTACATTTTACTGTTCAGTTAAATATTAATTTTCTTTGGTTGTTTCTAGAATGTTCCAGAAGCTATGTACCAAGTTTTGGAACAGCCTTTAAGTGAAGAAGAGCTAAAAGGAAGATCAGACATACCACAAACACTTGAAGATTTCATGTCTGAAGTCAAAAGAAGCAAATCAGACGCAAGAGAGTTTGCTCAAAAGCTTAAAGAAATGGTGACATTGATGGAACAGAGAACAAGAACCGCTAAGATTCAAGAGTATTTATACCGACATGTCGCATCAAGCAGCATACCTAAACAGCTTCACTGTTTAGCTCTTAAACTAGCCAACGAACATTCCATAAACGCAGCTGCACGTCTCCAGCTTCCAGAAGCCGAACTAGTTCCAACCTTGGTCGACAACAACTACTTTCACTATGTCTTGGCTTCAGACAATGTACTTGCAGCTTCGGTGGTGGCTAAGTCTTTGGTTAAGAACTCTTTAAGGCCTCATAAGATCGTTCTTCACATCATAACTGATAGGAAAACGTATTTCCCAATGCAAGCTTGGTTCTCATTGCATCCTCTGTCTCCAGCTATCATTGAAGTCAAGGCTTTGCATCACTTCGATTGGTTAGCGAAAGGGAAGGTTCCGGTTTTGGAAGCCATGGAGAAGGATCAGAGAGTGAGGTCTCAGTTCAGAGGCGGATCATCGGTCATTGTGGCTAATAACAACGAGAATCCAGTTGTTGTTGCTGCTAAGTTACAAGCTCTTAGCCCTAAATACAACTCCATGATGAATCACATACGTATTCATCTGCCAGAGGTGAACTTGATGATCCGTGACTGGTGGTATTATTAGACTTAAAAAGCTAAAACCGTCTTTGCTTCTTTTGTGTTTGCAGCTGTTTCCGAGCTTAGACAAACTTGTGTTTCTAGACGATGACATTGTGATCCAAACTGATCTTTCACCACTTTGGGACATAGACATGGATGGGAAAGTTAATGGAGCAGTGGAGACATGTAGAGGAGAAGACAAGTTTGTCATGTCAAAGAAGTTCAAGAGTTACCTCAATTTCTCAAACCCAATAATAGCCAGAAACTTCGACCCTGAGGAATGTGCATGGGCTTACGGGATGAATGTTTTCGATCTAGCGGCTTGGAGAAAGACTAACATAAGCTCCACTTACTATCATTGGCTCGACGAGGTAAATCAAGAACCACTTACTAGCCAGCAAACACTATCAAGCACAACTAGTCAACTTAACTAAGTATATGTTGCAGAACTTAAAGTCAGACCTGAGTTTGTGGCAGCTGGGAACTCTGCCTCCCGGGTTGATAGCTTTCCACGGCCATGTCCAGACAATTGATCCGTTCTGGCATATGCTTGGTCTCGGATACCAAGAGACAACGAGCTTTTCTGATGCTAAAACTGCAGCTGTTGTTCATTTCAATGGAAGAGCCAAGCCTTGGCTTGATATAGCATTTCCTCATCTACGTCCTCTTTGGGCTAAGTATCTTGATTCCTCTGACAGGTTCATCAATAGCTGTCACATTAGAGCATCATAATAATCGCATATCAAAACTCAATTCACACCGTTGGCTAAAAGAACCAGAAAGAGATTCAGAGATCAATTCATAGGAGCAAACTTTTCTCCAGTGGAGTTTTGACTTCACTCGTCAAGTTTCCCTCTTCCAGATCATGTTTTTGCAGTCTCTCCTGTTTTTATTTTTTTGTACTTAAAACACATTTTATATGTATTAATGTAAGAAAACATAATGCGAGAGACCATCTGCCAAAACTCTACTTAAATTTACATGTAAATAGATAACATTGCGCAAAGCAAATGGAGTTTACAATGCCATATCATTGTTCAGCAGATAACAGTTTGTACGACCATAACACGATGAAACATAAGCAACGATAAAAAGACTAAGAAGAGAGCAAAACATATGGACTTTTCTTTTTTCAGCGTAAGAAAAAAGCAAACCAGTTGATGATTTTTCTTAAGGTTTTTGTCTCCCAGTTAAGCAACTGGTGGACGAAGGACATGATCCTGAGAGGTATCGACTGAAGCAGGAGGCATGAACTGCCACATGGCAACTCCTGGGTAACTGATGATTGGCACCATCTTGTTTCCGGGAGCTTGGCCTTGCGCAGAAGCAAAAGCAGTTGGCATCATAGGTGGAGCTGGGAAGAAGCTTGGTTGAGGAGCATTCATGGCTTTCAGCTGTTGCTCCAGCTTCTCTTTCTCTGTCTTCAGCCTCTGTTTCTCATCTCGCAGCTCGTTTTTCTCAGTCTGATCGAGATCACAAGGAAACTAGTAAGCATTCATGGTGAAAGGATGATTACAAGTTTAAAGAAAATTTCTACCTTCAACTCTTTGATTTTGTCCTGAAGACCTGAATTGGAGTCCTTCAACTTCTGGGCCTCGCCTCGTAGCTGTGTCACCATGCGGACAGCATCGACCAAGATTGCAGCCTTGTCTGTTTTGGGAGGATTTCCAGGCTCCAAAATTACACTCAATTCCATAAACCTGTTATGCATTTCAAAAAGGCGACACATTTCAATTCCTGCAACAGGGAAGAGAAGGATGTACAAAACTGAAAAGATTACTTGTCATTCAGCCTGTCTCGGCGCTGCTTCTCTCTACATGCTTTCGAACTAGTGGCAGAGGATGATTCACATCTCGCCCTGAGAAAAGTAATGATCAGAATTACATTTTTTTTTTCTGATACCTTATCAAGCCAAAAAAATATCTCAAGAGAGCCAATACAAATTTTTAAATAGCAGAAGTTGCTAGAGTTACGCAGTTTGATCAGTCACTTGAAAGTTGAGTTTATCAGAAGAAGGCTTACCTCTTTTTGGAGCCAGGTTCCTTGTTGGCTTCTGAATTGCCAGCCGACCCATCAACTCCAACGCTGAAAAAAACACAACAACAGTTATTAAATACAATGCAAACAGTTCAAGGAACTTACCATAAATCGTTCTAACACTCATCTATCACACAGCGGAAACTCGAGGAAAAAGATTCATTAAAAAAAAACATTGACATAGTACGGTCAAACTAGCTATCCAGAAAAGGAATCTAATTCCCACCAAAACAAAGTGATAGAGACAAACTAATTCCTGAATCAAACACAAAAACTCTCCTGAAGACATTTAATCAACTGCAAGAATACCTCAACAGCTTAAGTAAAGAGTCAACCTTTAAGCTAAAAAATGTATTTTTTTTCAGATAACAAAGGAAGTAACAATAAGATCTCTCTTCAAACAATCAAATTACAAAGTCTATGAAAAAAAATAACATCTTTTTTGATGAAAATTGAAGATGACTATACTGATATCTCCCAAAATTGGTAAAGATCATCAGATCGGAACCCTAATTGAATCAGTTAAAGAGGGGGAAGAGAAACCTGGAGTTGTTATTAGAAACGGCAAGAGGCCAAGAGAAACCAGGACCTTGGATGGTGAAGCTTCCATAGTCGGCATCGATCAGGTCGGATATCCAATTAGCGTTTTCGGGCGAGACCATCTCCTCAAACTCTTGCCGTTGGAATTTGATTGCAAAACTGTTGGAGGAGACGCAAGTGTGGAGGAAGGAATCCCAGAGATTAGACTTGTTTTCACGCGCATTCTTCTTCTCTTTTGGGCTTTCAAGGCCCATACATTTTATTCTTTCATTTTTTTATATTTTAACCGAACAATATATTTGTGTGCTAGTGTTACATCATCATATTTATTAAACAAACATCCAACTTTTCTTTGGTTAAATCAGGATATTCCAAGCTCAAACCATCTCCACTGAATAATGCTCCTAAGATTATTTTACAATTTGGAATTAAAAAAAACATAATAACAATAGGGTAAAATGGTTTTCAAATGAAAAAAATTGAAACCAATAAGAGCGAGCCGTCTAAAAAACATTTTTTAATCTATTGCTAAGTTTTTATTTTGAAAGTAAACTAGATCTTGATCCGTGCAACCGCGCGGATTTCTATTTTCATTTATTTTTTATAAATATTTTGTTTTCAATTCTAAATTAGCATATATTATAATATATATGAAGTGTGTCTATCAATTTTTAAAACATAATAATTTTATTGTATACTTTTTGAATAAATTGTTTAAAATGTAATGTAATTCTCCTTTCTAGGCATATGTTCAAAATTTAATATATCACAGATGAAATCAAGTCATGATTTCTATTTTAATATATAGATGTAGTTATATTAAAACTGATATAACGAAATTAATGGTTTTGAAATAGTAAATCTGAATTTCACTCTTAAAACAAATTAGAATTATGGAAATTAATCAAAAAATGTTTACAAAATATCTACAACATCTAGTCGCAATAAGTATTGTCAGGATGATTCATGAATCATATAAATGATCATATGACATATATTCTTTTTTCGTTTAAGAAATTATAGAATTTTAATTCCAATGCTCTTAAGCCTTCCACTGTAATACCATTTACATGATAACATGTAATATTTTCAAAAACAAGCTCAAGCTTCCAAAATAATGTTTGTTGGAAAAAATAATGCCTAGCTAGATAAGATCTGCACAATCGCATTTTTGTCAAATAAATGTATATGCAGTAGAAACATGTTCAATTAAAATAGATTATAGCTTTCGACTATGTGATGAGAAATAAACTCTGAAGTATACATATTATCATTACTTAACTGGTTTATATTTATATTCGTAGTAGTCTACTACTGTATATTGTTTTTTATTTGTCAGTTTAGATATAACAATAAATTGATAAAGATCTTTGATCATGTTGGTCGGATTGGACCGAAATTATTCTACAACATGGCTGGATGGTCGTTTGGTCGTGATCTAGGGGAGATCACATTCTTCTGCTTCCTCCCGTTCTTACATGAAATTTCTTTGAGGAATTATTCCAAAATATTCGTATGAATATATATACATATGGGAAATTGCATATTCTATATACAGAAAAAAAAAAAAATACGCAAACTAACTAAATTAATTTCCCCTCTCTCCTACTTTTTCTTCCTATCACTCTCAACTCTTTTCTCAAAATTTAATTTTCTATTTTTTAGTTATTTGGCAAAAACTCCCTATATACATTTAATATAACCTATAGGCCAGTCCGGTGTTATCTTTATTTTTTTGAGTTTTTCTGGATGTGAAAATTTCAAACTAGAGTTTTTTTTTTTTTTGACAACGAAAGGATTTCAAACGAGAGTCAATCGGTAGATTATAACCGATATGATAAAGGAATCATACACTCCAACGATATAACATAAATTTTTTTGGCGGCATTATTTGATAAGATAACATGTTTGTGTCCATTATATTTATACAGTGGGTTGTTCAAAAACAATGTTTTTACAGTACATAAAATATACTAGCAGTCCGAACTTTTTATCTTGCTTTAAGATACCATTAATATTTTTAACTATTCAACTAGCATGGCGACAATCCCCCTATACATTAAAAGAGAAGTACATTTGCCACATGGCACTCATACAGAGCTTCTCAGAAGAATTCTCTTAATCTTATTGGTTGATTTTTTTAGAATTTCTTTTTTTATTTATTTTTATCATCGACAACCTAATAGGAAAGCAACACTAATTACTAACCTCATTACATATTACTTGTACACGAATATTAATTAATACATGTATTAATAAATTTTCTTATTACAAATACGGTAAACCATTTACTCTTGATATCATATTGATTACATTGCTTAATGACATTTAACAATTTGTATCTAATTAGGAAACTTATTTTTATTAACTTACCTTACTAATATTGATTACTTGCGCAAGTTAAAATCATATCATATGCATATCATTTTATTAGCTTATCATGCAAGCTAAATCATTGA